ATACTAGAAAAACCTACTCTCTACAAATATACTATAGGAGATTAGGAAGATTAAACCCATTAGATTCAGCATAGTTAATTTACAATTTAGATTTATAATTATATTTTCTGTATATATTTTACAAACTTAAAATACTTTAAAGTAATAAATGATATTTTAAAATACTACCCATTGGTAGTATTGGTAGTTCTGTTACTAAAACGGTCATGTCATGGTCATGTTAAAATATTAAATTCGCGCCCGAACCTTGCATATCAATGTGACTGGTGACAGCCTCCTGGACGGTTTGACAAAGAAGGGTTATTTTAACGGCCATTTTAATTATTTTAAACAATTGTTTTAATAAAATATATATAAAATGGCAAGAGCTAAGAAAAAGTTCCTGAAAAAACAAAAACCACCGCACCACCTAAGAATGCACCTGTAGCGCATAATTCAACAATTCGAAAAAGACGTCGTAAAAATCTATGGCTAAGAGAAATAAAAATAAGTTACAAAAAACCACGAATTTACTTATTCCGAAAGCCTCTTTTTGCAGAGTTGTTAAAGAAACACTACAAATATTAGGAGCAAATGATATGAGATTTACAGCAATAGCTATTGAGGCTTTACATGAAGCTGTTGAAATTTATATGACAATTCTTCAAAGATGCTTACTTGTGCACAGCTCACCGAAGAAGGGTTACTTTGATGCCCATTGGCATGCATTTGTGCAGACGTCTTCGAGGATTAGGAGACGTTATAAATTCGTTTTAAGAAACTATATATTATTTACTTTCACCGATGCTAGTTGAAAATCATAGTCATAGTCAAAGTAACAGTGTTGATCTCATTTTATATATGTACTTTTATTATCTTCACTATATATTTTATTATTAATTTTATATCTTTTGGTTCCATCGAAGAATTAAACTGTAACCTTTATAAGAGTATTTTATAAATAAATAAATATACTTTAATCTTATTTTTTTTTGTCAGGTCGAATTGAACGAGAAGCTGATTATATATTTCATTATGTCGTAATTGCTGGATGTATAG